GGTTGATTCAAGTATATACTTAACAATACAAGCACCTCTTAACTCATCGCACAACAATGTTGTCTATATACTTTACCAAGAACAGACATATTCCTTTATGCTAGTAAGCTTGACTTGTCTCCCTTAATTATACCCGGGCACTGGAATTAATCAGGTCCATCTCTTGCTCAGAATGTCAGATGTCAGGGGAGATAAGTCCAAAGGTGACTAATACAATCTTATTAATTGCAAAGGAACACAATTGTCTGATAATCCACACGCTGTTGCCAATAAATGACAAAAGCACACTCGCCAATTTGTAATTAGTCATGAAAACTAATCAAATGACACAAGTTTCAGTGCTTATAGTTGCAGGGTTGGTAATAGTTACTCATAAAACGATAACAAAAATTTGGAATTCAAACAGGTGTATTCCCAGATTTGCACGGACATGTATATGGACTGATCAGATTAAGTTTTCCTCTGACAGTTAATGTTCTACCAAGCCTTTTTCTTTACTCCTCACTAATTAAAATATTTACAATAGTGAAATGAGAAACTTTAGGAGTACTGTGAAACACTATATTTGAAAAGTGGTGTGAATCAGATGTGGATCCATACATAAAATCGAAGGAACAGTCAGAAAAACTGAAATCACAAAGTTTTATTAAAATCAATAACATCAAGATGAACGACTTTTCTTCACTTGATACAACTACTCCCCACGATGAATTTAAGTCCAGGCTTATTGACATCATAGATGACAAACAGCTGCTTTTTCAATAAAAATGGAAGTTCTCAATATACATACCTTGCCACTAATTACCTGCAAAAATTATTTTGTTAAAAAGCATTCTGGTTGTTCACTAGGTACTCTGAAGTTTATACATGTATTTAAAAAGATGCTTGAGTTTCTGATGGACAATAGCTATATATGTCCGTGGTTCTTGGAGGCGATTCTTTCAACACTCTATTGGAATTTCCAGGGTACCAAGGCCGCCTCCCATTATAAGCAGACCTATTTTTATATTCACATACTTATGAAGCAGAATTTATTCATAAGCTTATACATGAGAAGAAAACACTTGTCCCCAACTCGACATTTCGATATATCGACGACGTATCATGAATTATCAATTGTGACATAAGTTATTTCCATTCATATGTCGACTCCAAATATCCCAGTGAGTTTGAAATAAAAGATACCAAAGAGTCTAACACATCTGTTTCATATTTGAATATATTTAACTAGAAAAGGGCGTTAAGGGTGATTCAACAGCCACGTTTAATGCATGTGATGAGTTCAACTTTTCAATCGTCAACTTCCCTTCTAAATTAACTTAATGTTAATTCGATACGCTATAGCATGCTCTACATATGAAATAATTAAACAAAAACACCAACATTCTCCTTTAAAGTCATCATTTCGCAAGTTTCATGGTCGATACAATTAATTACCTTGTCAGTAAATACATCGAATCATTATATAAAAGTAAATGCTGACTGATGTTTTTCATACTAACTGTAATGCTATTATTTAAACACTGAATTTTCTGCAGATTTTTTTCGCGTTTCTCGGTCATACAAGGAGCACAAGGGAGGTAAGACCTGTCGGTAGCAGATGCTTATTCCTCAAAGACGCATGTTCTCATGTTTTAGGAGGTCTGTATTAGCTCTGCTTCCGGTTTGTATTGTTATTGAATTCTTCAAAATCATTTGTCAGTTTTATAATATATTTTTAATATTCCTGACAACCAGAATGAATTTGAATTACCATATCCTTATTGGATTCCAAAACTTCATAATAAAAATCCTTACAAACAAAGATACATAGCGGGTTCCAGTAAATTTTCTATCAAGTCTCTTTCTTTATTCCTCACTGAAATATTAACAGTAGTGAAGGAGAAACTTCAAGAGGACTATGCAATAATATTTTCAAAAAGTGGTGTAAATCAGATGTGGATACTTAATAATTCCAAGAAACTTATGGAAAATGCGAAATCACAAAATTTTACGAAAATTATCAACATTAAATTTACGACTCTTAACTTTATATACAAGCATTCCCGAAGATAAATTAAAATCCAGGCTTTTTGATATTACTGACAGCTGCTTTTGCAATAAAAATTGAACTTGTAAATTAACTTACCTTGCCACTGGTCATTTGCAAAATTAATTTGTTCAAAACATTCTGATTGTACACACAAGTACTCTGAAGTTGATATCTAAAAAGATGCTCGGGCTTCTGATTGACAATATTTATGTGGTTTTTTGTAGGGTTTTCCAACAATCTATTGGAATCCCCATGGGTACCAATTGCGCCCCGTTATAAGCAGATTTACTTTTGTATTCAAGCAGATTTTTCCAAAATCGTCTACTGAAAAAACGAAGAAAACATTTGCTGTGGCCTTCAACTCGAAATCAAGATATATCGTCAACGTATTATTTATTAACAATAGTTATTTCCATTCTTGTGTCGATACGATATATCCCTGTGAGCTTGAAATAAAAGATACCACAAATTCTGACACATCTGTTTCACATCTAGATGTTTTACATGAAAAGACGTTAATGGTACTCTAACAACCAATCGTTATTAGGGCTAGGTTAGCGTTAGGGCTAGAGTCATAGTTAGGCTGCAAGGGTTAGGGATAAACGAGATGAATTTAACTTTTCAATCGTCAACCTCCCTTATTTATGCAGAAATATACCTTCATCAACTGCATACGGTTTTATATCTCTCAGTTGATTCGATAAACGAGTTTTAAAACTTGACAAACAAGTTGCTGAAACAAAAATATCAGCAATCTCGTTTAAAGTCATAATTTCGTAACTTCTATGGTCAAAACAATGACCTTGTCAGCAAATACAATTTATCATGAAGAATTTGATTGACGTTTTTCATACTATTGTTAGGCCATTATATACACACTGAATTGTCGAAGTGTTTTTCCGTTATTTGCCGATCATTACGTAGCACATGGCACCTGATCCCACCTCTGGTATTGTGGAGGTCCGTGTTTGCTCTGCTCTTATTTTGTATTGTTTTATGGACTTTTGATCTTGAATACTGTTCGTCTCCATATCCTTCATTCCGCCTGTAAACATCACAATTTAGACCTTATCTTCAGAACCATTAAACAATTCATATATGGCACCAAGTGGGTTTGAATAAAGGGGATTCTTAGTTGTTCAAGACCAAATTCCCCATCCAATGAAAGACAATCAAGAAAAGGCAAAAATAGGGAATCGTAATAAAAAAAATCTTTCATAGAACCACTGGACCAAATCTTAAATCTTTGTAGAATGCTTTCTGAGGTAGTGTTGCTTTTCTTAATTATGGTCACTGGGGTGGGGTCATAATGAAAGGTCAAAGTCTTACATTACATTCAATTATAAATAGGAGAAACTTTCTTTAAAAATCTTTTCTAGAAAAAATGAAAACTTCCAGACGTTGTGTAGAAACTAAAATGTTCAATATGCAGCAATGGGTAGGATATGGGACGTACCACACTTTGGGATCAAAGCTGTACAGTGTGTATATATATATATATATATATATATATATATATATATATATATATATATATATATATATATATATATATATATATATATATATATATATATATATTTGATATATAGAACAAATCTTTAAAAAATATCGTCTTTTCAAGAACAATTGGACCAAAACAAATAAAATAAAATAAAGCAAATGATAACGATTATGAAACTAAAAAGCATTTTATGTCAATAAGAATTATTTTTGTATTCAAGCAGATTTGTCCAAAATCCTGTATGTACTTGAAAAGAAGAAACGATTTGCTGTTTTTTTTTTTCTGATGCAAGGAAGTACGTAGCATCGTCTTTGAAAAAAGGGGGCAGTCAGAGATTTAAAAAATTAACTAGCTGAAAAAATCTAGAAAAATGGAGGGTTTCCAAACTCCATACTAGAAAATCAAATGGGGGTGGGGGTGGGGGGGATCGAGGTCGATCCTCGAACTAGTACCCCCCCCCCATATCTAAATTATAATTTTGACTATACTACAACTACATAAGTGGAGGGAGCAAATAAATTAAATCAATTGATAACACATCGGAGAAAATCCAATGAATATCATTTTCCCATCATAACCCGAAGTGGGTAATTGAGGCCCATATGATTTTAATCTTGATTAAAGTGTGGGGAAAAAATACGTGTGTATAAAGACAATAAAAAAAAAGATAAAATAAAGGAGCGAATCGAGGATCTGATTTTCATCTGATTGAAAAATCAAGTTACAGATGTATGTAGACATGGTAGATCTGCACATCAATTAATTTATGAAGTTTGATTTTTGCACAAATGTCAGCATTTCAATAACTTTTGTTTTAGAATAAATCAATTTACTAATAATTGAATCAGTCATCATATAACTACTTTTAAAGGTTTTTTCTGCAAATGTAAAAGTTAGTATAATTTTTATACACAATAGTGTATAGAAAATAATTAAAAATACTGATTTTCATCTAACATATCAGAAATGAATAATTCTTTTTTTTGTAATTACTACAAATATCATGTATGTCAGCAGAACTGGTCGAAATTACCCCAGTTTTCCCTAGATCTAAATGAAAAATATTTTTCTGACTGGTACACGGGCTTTTCAAGACACACAATTATTACACTTAAGGACATACATGAAATTCCGTACACCCAGGGATATACACTGGCATTTCTTTGACAAGGCCTAAATGTCACGTGATTTAAATTCCTAGCTGTTCTAATATTAAATTCCACAATGCAATGATTTTTTCCTGATTTTATCACCAGCAATTTTTGCATTATTTTTTTGAAAAACAAAAGAAGTAAAATGAGTTGTACTGCACTATTAGTTTCCAGTATATTTAATTTTTGCAAACTATGGAGAAATGAAATGAAATTAAAAAGAAAATGACGTAGGGGGTAAAACAGAACAGCGGAAGTTGTGATTCAGATTGTTGTCACTAAATTGGAATTTCTTCTGTCGAGTGTTGTGCATAAAAATACTACAAGTTATAGATATCTGGTAAGAATTTTTGATGAATATGAAAGCAGATAGAATTATGTAAACCTTTCAGATGCATTTTCACGGTAGATATATTCTCGAATGGCATATTTTATGTATTATGTTGATTGATAGAAATAATCTGCAAAACTTTGTGGAATGTACACTGTACGTTTGTAATCATCCGATGGTATACACAGTGTTTATAATCAACATTAGCATAGTTAACACATAACACAGAATCTAGTGAAAAAAATACACAAATTATACACAAATCCAAGGACTAAATATAATTTTATGATACCATTGACATGATTATGATGAAAGAGGTGGGATACATCACATGTTGAATGAAAATATTTATGGTTATCATTTTCTGTTTGAATAATCGATCTGAAATATTGCACATGTATTATTATAGTCTGATTCTCACACCTCTTTGAAATCTACATTATGCTTTCTTAATTGATTTTGATTTGTTCTGTTGTTTTATCAACCACTTGTTTCTCCCTTTAATAGCCCTAGTGTGCCATGAGTGTTGGTTCCCCTGCAGTGGGGTCCCTCCAGTTGAAATGGGACCCCAAAAATCTGGAGATCCGGACAATGTCTGTGGAGAAGACATTGGAACCTCTAGTTACACAGGTATTATGTTTTTTCTCTTACTGCTATGCATATTAGCAGGGCTCGACATTAACACTTGTCCGCTTGTCCGGTACCAATGAAAAATAAATACGGACAAGTGAATATTGCTGAGCACTTGTCTGATTGGACAAGTGCATTTTAATGTAAAGGGGTCTCTAAATAATAAAAAGAACGACTGTTGAAAGCTAAGTCCAATCAATTGAGCGAAATCGGTAGTCTCAAGACGGAAGCTGTACATAAAATCTAAACTTCGATCCCGATATGTATAGTTATTATTAATATTGAGTTCACATTTGATCGGGATCGAAGTCCACTAATTGCATACTACTGAAAAGTCATGGAAGATACGAACTGAAGTGTGAATTATTTGATGTTGACAGGTTCACTTGTGGACATTTATTTAGAAAGCCTAAATTAAATTTTGTTTTATGTGTCTGCTGTATTTATCAATAACATCAAGAATCAATCAAGCGCATGACATGTGTAAATAAATGGACTTAATTTTAACTTTCAAGTTGAAACTATTGAACTTTGTTGAAAAATTTTCCGACAAATGAAGTTGAAATTCGGACAAGTAAATGCCTTGGTCACTTGTCCGAATGGACAAGTAGGAAAAAAAGTTAATGTCGAGCTCTGATTACAGTGATTGGGATAAGCTAGGGAGTAAATGTGACAATGGCACACTCCAAGTCAGTGTCAATGTGACATTTCAAAATTTAATGCCCCAAACAGACTTTTTAATGGGACGTTTCCTAGTTACAAACTTGCAATTGATTAGTTGATGTTAGAATTTCAGTTGACTTTACATAATTGAAATTGTCGAATTATTGAATGACAACATTAAAAGATACAAAATTAGTATATTTAAATTCACAAGTGTCAGGAAATAAATAAACACTGCAAATTAATTTCAATTCTTTATTTTTTGTCTCCGATGTTTGACATCTTTAAATGATTTAAAGCCTGGTTTAGATCTATACTGCTTCCCTCCAATTCATTTTAAATTTTGGTTTTTTGGTTTTTCCTCCGAGACTACATCATCCATCTTACCGTCAGATTCATCCCCATGTCAGCATGTTATAGGTTCTTCCGAGTCATTTTCTACCGATTTACTTGAATTCTGTTTGTTAGGATTGTTAAAATTAAGAAAAGTCTGCCCTTTATCGATACGAGGTATTTTCTTAGGCAGCATGCTGCACTCCTGACACCATTTTATTTCGTGCGCGTTAGCCAATCAGAAAACACGTAACTGTTTGATCAGATACTGGAGAAAAGAAAGTCATAAGAATGCTTTAACTGAACGATATTACATACTGTATTTTCAAGCATAAATTGACAGTGATTGTTGTGGGAAAGACTACAAGCGCTTGGGGAAAGCTCAAAGTTTAAAAGTATGTAGTGCATGAATATATATGCGCCACGATGGCACAGCGTTTTTAATTTTAATGTGACATTTTAAAATTTGATGTGACTATGGCGCAGGGCGCATGCTTATCCCAATCACTGTGATTAGTTGTTATGATCAGAATTTACAGAGGTACAGTATAGTTGACACTTTGTTGATATTACAAAAATCTTTAACTGTTATATAGGTAAAATCAGTCCTTAGTGTTTGAAAAAGGTTAAATTTAGTTCTAATGAAATACACTCATGCCCTTCTTATGAACATTTTTCTGATGAAAAAGTGTGTATAATACACATGACTTTACATGAAAAAAAGTGAGTATGAGAACTTGGGAAATTTTTTATAAGAAGGGAGGTTTATGTTCAGAATTAAATATTCATACATTCTTTAGTTTATCATGTTTATAATCCAGGAACATCCAGTTTTGATAAAACCTTTTCATTTACCATGTTTACAGGTAACAACCCTAGTTAATCAAAAAAGTCCATCAAATAAAAAGAAAGGGAGGTCAAAGAAGGCACATGTTTTGAGTGCCGCTGTTCAGAAAGCCACAGAGAATTTCATTGCTAGAGGAGAGGAAATCGCCAATGAAAACCCAGATATCAGGCCTGACATGATGGCAGCTGTCGACGAAGTCAGGAAAACTGGTAAGTACAATGTGACTTATAGCCATTTATAAGGAATGGACAGTTGATAAGCTTTTCATTTGTTAAGTCAGAGAAGGGTCTAACCTACCCCATAGATCATTGATAAAGATGGTATTTCTGGTCATATGTAATGCATGATAAGTAATATCTAAACCAGGATCATATAAAATTAAAAATGATAATTGTGTATATTTATGAATCAAGCTTGTCTAATGAGGGACGCCTCTACTGAGTTAATATCTATGTATTTGTATTGTAGGGGAGGTAATGAGGGATGCCTCTACTGAGTTTGCTGCTGAGCCCTGTTCCCTGTCTAAGCGGGGGGCTATGGTACGGGCTGCTAGAGCTCTCCTATCTGCTGTCACAAGACTTCTGATCTTAGCCGATATGGTGGATGTTCATCTCTTGCTGAAATCTCTTAGAATGGTAACGAGGCTTAGACTAGAGTTCTATCAGTATATGCAATTTTTCAAAACAGTGAAATTTATGAATATTCCTTTTAGGAGACTAACATACTCTACCTGAAACATGATACCGTATAACTGGTTTTTAATGCGGGTGCAAATTTTTGCGATTTGATCCTGAAATAGGTATATTTATTTTTTGCGATTTTAATTTTTGCGATTTCACTTTGACAATAAAGTGTATTTTTATTGAATTTTATTGCTAGACATTTAAACAATAAAGTCTATTTTTCTTTTTTATTGAACAAACCAAAGCAATTTAAAATACAGGTGACTCTTGATGGCTTGAACTCAGATCTCGAGAAGTGAACCTCTGGTCCCGTTTTTTTCCTCTATATAACTAAGCAAATTTACTCCTGATCTCTCGAACTTCTATCTCTCAAAATTCTCTATCTCTCGAACCAAAAGCTGGGTCCCGTTACACATATTTCGTTGAATTTTACTCTCTATCTCTCGAAGTTTTGATTGCTCTTGTATACACGCCAGTCAAGCGTAAAATAGACAGTCTGGAGTTACCTGGAAACAGTGAAGGCCATGGGCTGTTAATTAGGTGATTACATAGATGACACTACACCTGTGGGTCGTCCGTGTGTTGTGATAATTAATGGGTTATTATTCACAGGGTAAATTAGAAACAAATTCACAATTATTTTGAATTGAAACCGAGACGATAATTCTTTGAAATTAATTTATAGAAGTTCGTTTCAGTAAGTTCCCATAGACTATGAACTTTCATTTATGATTATAAAGAGTTTATATAATCTCAGTAGGGGAAATATTACACAAGAAATTCTTTTCTCAAGGACAGACTACCGATTAAGAAAAATCTGGTAAACACTAATGAAGGACCCGATCAAGCCGAGGAATAGCCAAACCGACAATTGCTATTCGGGTTTCATATAAATAAATCATGAAATACAATGTAGGAACAAATAAATATTGAATCTTTAGGAATTCGTTTTATTTATTAGAAAAACAGTAATTGCTGTTGATATCAAATAAATTACCTGTAAAATACGGTTGAAAACGTGCAATGGCATTATTTACATATACTTCCGGTATCTGTAAAAGTAGAACTTCGATGATCGCAACTGAAAATTCCGGATTTTATTTAAGTATTTTTTGCGATTAAGACTTGATCGCAGAATTTCGCAAAAAATAGCACCCTATAGAAAAATCCAGTTATATGGTATATGAAATCTTGGTAATTTATGTCATGTTGAAATAGTATTTATTTTTCATGTATTTTAATGAAACATAATTTAAATGCTTATTTTCTGATTTCTGATTATTTAATTCTAACCATGCTAACAGGTTGAGGGTGACTTGGACAGAGTAAGGAATGCCACAAGTCAGCAGGAGCTGATGTCTAGCTTCAAAGATCTGGGGGAGAGCTTAGTGGATCTAGCTCAGCGAGCTGCCCAAAGACAGAATGTATGTGACAGTCTATATGTACATAATATACGTAGCGCTCAAATATGACAGTAAAGATTTATAAGTATCATACGCTCGACTTGAAAAGTGGGAAATATTTAGTCATATTTCAGTCTATTACACTTGGACACATTGTTGGGTATCCCTTATCTGTGACTGCTTTTCGACCATTGAGTGTTATTTAATGAAATTTTCACAAAGTCTTTATTATAGCATGAGACTGAACGATTCCTATTTGCATTTCATTGGGCAGATAGGGTTTCATTAGAAAAAATAATGATTTGCCATTTTGGATAAAATTTGGGGGTTCCAATCACTTATCGGTAACTATTCTTATGCCACAGAATGCAATGTCATGAAATTTTGACAGAATCTTCATAACATAGCGCAATTCTGTACCTCTTAGTGTATGTTTCAATGAGAAAGATAAATTGCAGTACCACTCAGCAAAACATGGAGAAGGGGGGTATCAATTTGAAATATATGTCTACAGGACAAATAGTTTATTAAGTATATAAAGAGGTATTATGTATTTTTTTGTATCACCCTGAGATGTTTTATTATTAGTACTGAGTACTCAGAAACTTGCTAGTTTCCCAGAGCACTCGATTAAGCATAATTTTTTTTTTTTTTAGCATTTTTTAAGTATTGTTATGCAACATTACTTAGAGGAAAGCATTCCCATGCTAGATTAAGCATTTAGGAAAATGACTATCACATGCTATCTTCATTAACAAGAAATATAGACATAAGTTGACCTTTAAGTGAGGTAATATAACAGTATTGAACCACCCAGTAGGTGTTTTCAGTTGATGATTTCCAGCTATCTACAGGTGTGTTTAATCACTAATTGTGTTAATCTTTTATTTTTTCAGGATCTGAAGGACCCGAGAAGGCGTGACGATTTAGCTGCCGCTAGGGCTGTCCTCAAGAAAAATAGCATGATGCTGCTGACGACTTCAAAGGTAGCTAATAATGAGTTTCTATTGTGGGAAAATGTGTATTAAGTGTACTTAAAGCCCGGATCTGACCTAGTTTAATATCCACACGGACAGCAATTAAGCATATTAGGGAGCTGGTCACACCTCCAACTGATAAGACTGCAGAGTGAAGCTATAAATAGATACCTGCATAGAACATACACGTGTTACACAGAAAGTAGAGATAAAACTCTGCACATGGTTTTACTATTTATTTCTCCGCTTTGAGTACACTTGTTTAATATAGCGCATCCATATTTTATTTCTAAAATTAAATGTTTTCTTTTTATAGTTCTTTTTTCCCTTTAGTCTTCTAGGGGCCTTTGGGTCAGCCTTGAATGAAGTAGAAGTATGTTCTCTGTTTACATTTTCATTCCAATGCAAAGTTCCAAGGAAAGCACGCACTTTATATTGTTCACTTCCAAATGCTATTCGTTTGTCTTGATAGATATTTAATGTATTATTGAAACTCTCCACAAAGTACGTATCTCTCCCTAAATTAAAATGGTCTGGATTCTTATAAATAGTTGAATTTATTATAACACTTCTGAGTAATTTTACTGCCACTGGATTTTCAATTACAACCTTTGAAGGTTCATAATTTGGATCTCGTTTGCACCTAGAGCTGGGGTGACATTGTTTGTGGCTGTTCTGGTAATGGTCCACAATATTGTCCAACAGATTTCTCAAAGTGGCTGAATTACCATCACAATGCTTGGTCGCCCAGTAAAAATGTGTTGCTACAGGCTCCACTTTGTCAATCAATTCTTCAGACCATGTTTTTCCTTCCTTATATCTTGGTCCTTTTGATATATCAGTCAAGGCTTTTTTAACACTCTTGATTCCATGCCAAAGATCGTTTTGATTGCATGTAAATCCATGTTCCCTTTCCCTTACAAATTTGTTGATGGCCATATTCCTGTCGTGGGTATGTACATTCACAGAAATGTCTCTATTGTCAAAATCTTCATAAATTTTCCTTGTTCCAACTATCTCATGTCTTTGGGAAACAGGTTCCTCTGCTTTCGAGACATGGGCACAATTCAGTACTTTATGGGATCTTTCCCCAATAGCAACAACACTGGTATCTTGTGAATTTTTTCTCCATCCATGGCGGGCATCAGTTATTATGTCTATTCCATCCAGGTTTTCATATAATCCAACTTCTTCTAAAATAGCAGTAGTGCACGAATCCTCATATTCTTCTTTTACAAATTGCTTATACATTTTGAAAAATGTATCTCGTTTCTCTACGGAAAGAATTCCAAGACCTGCAGCATTACAGAATCGCGAATAATGAGAAGGTAACATTCCGCTGCATAGAAATGCATGGTTGATTCTTTCGTTAACAAGGTATTTCCCGTTGGGTAAGTATGGAGAAGATGCCCAAATATAGGAATGTTTTCCTCTGTCGCCCCGGGTACATTTTAATTTTAACGAATGCACATGACTTCTCTTAGTGACTTTTTTGATTTCTAGAATTCCTCTGCAGTACTTTCCATGGGTTGCTGAAATATCCATCAGTTTTTTGATAGATTGCATTGATGTTACAAAAAAGTCCTGCTTCACTTGACTCTTCTTTACTTTGGTATACGTTCCCGGTGACTTGAAATCATCACTTTTACTCACTTCTAGGGATTTTCTCCAAGCATCCAGCAATGATTCCATTATGTCAGTGTTGTTGACAGGTCTCCCTAACTTACTGACCAAAACCTCCCTTACTTTCTGAAGACTTTGCATTATTTCTTGCTTTTTTCCTTCAGTAATTGGCATCTCAAACTTGAAATTGGCAGGCCGTTTTCGCTTGGTTTCTGCCATTTTCTTCACTTCTTTTGACTATTATTTGACTTTCTATATTCTTTCAATGTTTACTTGCTTATCTTCTTGTAATACTATATGAAATGTTACTTGCAGTTTTGTGGGTTTCCTATTACGGACTAGGCCACTATTTTTTGTGATGTAACAGGATACAGTCATATTTCTCATTTTCAGTAGAATTAATAGATGACTGGCAAATATGGTTCAAAGTTTGCTCCTCATGATGAAACTGATATTAGAATTGCAAAATCAAGTCTCACCTCTTGCGTTTGAAATAATGTGTATTTATGCAATTAAATATTTATAATCTGAATTTACCCTTTGTCTATTATCAAATGGAATAGACCAGTTACAATGTAACATGTAAAGCTGAAATATTTTCACAGTGGGGAGGCACTCCCTGCATCCCGCCAAATGTCAATAAATCTATTAGTCAGCACACCTCCCATGATGGGCCCTCAGGGGTCAAAGAATATGATGCAAGAAAACCCCCAGATATTATTATTATATTTAATAGATTATCAGTGTATTTATTTTATAACAATTTTGATGCCAAAAAAATAATAAAGTTTTAAATTTTACAAAAGTGACCAAATAGACAACAACATGTTTATAAACCTCCTTTGGTGCCCCATGCCCTAAAACTTTCCCTCCAATTCCAGTCATCGTTCTTATAGCAAAATGGATGAAAATGAGGACACAAGTGTAATTTCTTTGAGAGTGAATCCTGAACAAAGGGAAACAATTATTCAGTTTATAAATTTTAATGAATGGGAATTAGATGAAATGTTATGCGAAGGGGATACTATTGAAAATCAAAACACTAGTGATGAAGACTTTGAGAGGACATTCCGTATCCCACAGAATGAAAACTGTGATGAATGTCAACAGTGTTTTTGCAAACCCTGCATCACAGATGAGAAAAACACACAGATGTGGTGGCCTTCTGAAGCAGTGTTACCGGACAGAAGAAACAGCTCCTTCCGGAAGCAAAAGTATAAGTTTTTTTGGACAATGCTCTTTCACAGAGGTGTTTTTCTTGATGCCCGATACAAAGAAAGAAAACTTATCGCGCTGCAGTCAGACCCTCGATTGAAAAATGTTGCAAGCCATCGTAGGGACATTCTACCAGAATGTGTTGTTGATCTTGTCAGATTTTGGTATCCAAACCCAAAGGATATTCCATACATGGGACACCGATGGCAGTGAATGTCATGTTTAACAGTTTAAATACACGAATTAATGAAATTTATTTATTTTTGTGATAATTACATTTGTTTGCAGCTTCATATACTATACAAGTCTTATCTGTTGACTGGTCAGTGCTTATGTGCTAATTACTTGTACTCTGCGCGCTATGAACAGCGGTCAGTTGATAACAGCCTGAAACAGCAGGATGCACTTTTATCTGTTCTTGTTTACATACAGTGTGTTCTTTATCTCTTCATCAAATAAAAGGAATTAATGGACTTTTCTTTCTCTTTGCTGAGGTAAGAGAATTAGGCATAACCATATAATAAGAAGCCATTTTGAATGCGTCCATAGAGATTAGAGCTTCCGGTGTAAATACAAACAGAGCTTTGCTAGCTGTCAATCAAAACAGGCAGATTTTGAAAATCAGTGTCACTTCAGAATTTCAATTGATAAATTCTCCCTTTTTACAAACATTTGAAATATATTCTATGCATTTTCTTATGCAGAATAGTAAACTTTATTTACATAACAACTATCTCAAAATGGTAATTGGTGCTATAAGTATGAATTCAAAAAAATATCCCCTGAAGTGAAGAGTGGCAAGAAAATTGAAATTTCCACCATTTTCCTGATTGGCTGCTATTTATACCCCAGAACCGGGCTTTAATGGGTGGAGAGAGTGCTTGTAAATAATAGCACTGGCAGATATGTTGCATGTGTAATTGATAGAAGGAAATGTAGGTGTTCATTCATAGGAATTTCCATTAAGAAAACCTGATGTTTGTCAAAGATGTAAGAATCTTTCATAGATCCATGTATATCTGCAAGAAGTATGGATCATTCATAAAATAAACATAATGTACTTTATTTACAGTGTATGTTCGTTGCAATGTATGTAGGAGTTTATTCACAAATAATAATTTCGTGATGTACTTGTAGCAAGTTGTAGGTGTATGATAACATGTACTTAATCATTATTGCGCAGTTTATTGACAATTTGTATATGTGTTCATTCAGCAATGCTGTTTTTATTTCAGGCTTACGTAAGGCACCCAGAACTTGCTCCAGCCAAATCAAATCGAGACTATGCCTACCAACAGCTTGTGGATGCTGTCAACACAATATCTGGTGTGGCCCAGGCCTCGGGGGCCTCTGATGCTCACCCATATGAGGGAGCTGGGGAACTGGCTTCAGCATTGGATGAATTGATGGTAAAAATGTGCCAAACAATTTTTTTTATTAAATTTTCTTATGACTTTACATCAGTTTTACATGTTATTTTAACAGTTACAGTACAACCTGTTCACATATAGAGATCAGGTGTAAACCTCTGCCCTTTTGCAGGATATCTATTTGATTATTTTAGATATTGATTTCTGTGAATCAAAACAATAATTAAAGTAATATCAGTATAATGCAATACCTGGATAATCAGAATCTCTGTGAATTCCAAGCTTTATTTTCATTCCCATTTTACTATTCTTTTCTATTTTCTTAAACTGCGACCTGATACCCATTTTGTATTCCAGTGCATGTTGATCAAACATGTTTCACTGTACAAAGATTTAAGCAAGATTTTTCTATGAATACATGTAATCAATCTTCATGTTCAAATGGTGGGAAATCTCATATATAAATCTGTCTCACTGCCATGATTATCCTTAATAAATTAGACATCAGCTGTTGAAAAATAAAATAAATAATCATTTTTTTGTAGCAAAAAATAATCATGGATCCCTTGACATACAATGAAGTGAGGACCCGGCCGTCCTTAGAGGAACGCCTGGAGAGCATCATCAGTGGCGCCGCCCTGATGGCAGACTCCTCATGTACGCGGGACGATCGCAGGGAGAGGATCGTACAGGAGTGTAACGCTGTCAGACAGGCCTTACAAGATCTGTTAACAGAGTACATGAACAATGTGAGTACATGGCTGACGTATTTGATATCAGAGTAAACAGATTAGTATTCAACTTGGTCTTGTGATAGTTTATATTGAAATCTTTTTTTCAAATATTGTTCATGAAAAACTTTCAGAATAATTTTAAAAATCTGATTTACACTGTATATATACCATCTTACAGTAACAGTATAAAGAATAAAAAAAAATTACTACCTTTTGAGAAACATTTCCATGATAAGCAGATAAAGGGCAACTTTATTTATTAAAGATTTCCATGAGCACAAATTAGAAATAGCTAATATTAACTACATATTCTATTAAAACAAATACTTTTACTAAATGAATTTAGTGCAGGAAACCACAATCAAGTAATTTCAAGGTACAGGTAACACTGGAATGTTTTTTAAATCTTTTCTTCTCTAGGAAATTTCAATAGATTGTATTTATAATTGTATTGCCCATTTCCATATTGTACACAAGTTATTATGAATAACATAGTTATCTTGTCAACTTTTGCCTTAGAATTCCATTAACGAACTTGCTGTTAAAAAGAGAGAGCATACAAATCAATTGCCTGAATTTTATATTGAGTTACTTAGAATTATTTTAACAATCTACTGTACTTGTACTTGGAATGTTTTAATTGAGAATTCAACTGTACTAAAATTTTGAATGTTTAGTTAGACGTGATATTGTCACTGCCTTGAAATGAATGAAATGTGATAAGCATGTAGCTTATGATGAAGATATTTTATATGTAGTTCTGTTAATACATGTTTTCTTTTTAAATTAAGAATTGTTTAAATGAGTAGATAAGTTGTTAAGGAAAGTGACATAAGGAAACAAAAAGGTGGCTCATTAAGGATAAAAGCTGCATTCTATCTTTCTTTTCAATATTCAGAGAAATAATTCAAGACGTATTCATTTACCCATATTGCATGTGCATGTCATGAATTCAATTCAAAATTGAGATGTATTTTATATATCTGCCCTTCAGAAGAAGAAACTTTTGCTAGAACATCCTATTCATATTATAAGTATTTAATGTATCAATCTACAGCTTTTTCAGGTCAATAGTGTTTGTATTTTGACTTCTTTACTAAATCGTTTTGAAAATGATTAAAATGCCAAATTTTGCAGAAATGAAATGATTTTTATAGAAGTTTGCCCCAAGGAATTATAATAATTTAAAAGTGATGTGCAAAATGTGTAAAATTAATGACTCCTATCTGATTTGTTTGCAGTCTGGAAGAAGTGAGAGGAGTGAAGATCTTCAGAGGGCCATAGATAACATGGAACGTAAGACGAAGGACCTCAAGAGACAGGTAAATAAACTTGGAAATCAATGAAAAAACAGAATGTTTTCTGTCATAAATTAGGAGATGAAAACATGCATTAACTTTAACCAGATCAATTTTTCTGGGTTTTTTTTTTTTTGAGGAGGGGGGGGGGAGGAGTTGGGTGTGATTTGGATCAATTACATTTCATGAAAGTATATTTTATTTTATAAACTTAAAAGTGTAGGGGTTTTTTTTCAAAGGGGGGGGGGTCAAATTTCCTTATGTTTGATATACTCGCTAAAGAAGGGTTTCAATTTTGAAGGGAATATTTATAGTATGTTTTCTATTTACTATAGCTGAGAAAAGCAGTGGTGGATCATGTTTCTGACTCCTTCCTGGAGACCAACGTACCCCTCCTTGTTCTGATAGAAGCTGCCAAGGCCGGGGACGAGAAGGGAGTGGAGGAGTATGCCCAGGTGTTTGCTGACCATGCCAACAAACTTGTGGAGGTATAAAACTTGTGTTCAAATGCTCTGTAATATCTGCAATTTCATTGGTGAACAGAGATGATTTGTCAGATACTTTTAAATGATTGAAAATGCCTATCCAACAAAATAAAACAAAAACTTGCATTACAAAATTCATCATATATCATCTAAGAGTAAAATTTTAATTTGAAGTGCACTGCTATAGTTATATTGAGCAGTTTGTTTTTATTAATTCATTTCTTATTCATATGCCTTACCTCTGTACACAGGTAGCAAACTTGGCCTGTTCCATGTCCAGCAATGCAGAAGGTGTGAAAATGGTCAGAATGACTGCAGCTGAACTTGAAAGTCTCTGTCCACAGGTTAGTTGATTAATTTTTATGCGCCCGTCTTAAGACGGGACGTATTATGTTATAGGCTTCATGTCCGTCTGTCTGTCTGTCTGTTAGCTTTTTCGTTTCCGGCTCATAACTTTAATACTATGAGGCCTAGGATTATCAAACTTTGTCCTTTGATGCATCTTGGGTAGAAGTTGTGTCGCACACAAAAAGTAGGACGCTCTGACTAATTAAGAAGTTATAGCCAAATATGGAAAAATCCTTTCCGGCCCACAACTAGAAAACTATAAGACTTACAATCATCAAACTTGGCTAGTTTATGCATCTTAGGTAGAGGATGTGTCGCGACCTATTTCAAGGTCACTGAAATTTAATTTTAATGAAATTTGAAATAAAAAATGTGTCTTATTACTATTCATTTTCACATCCCAAATAATGTAAGAGTATTGCACTATTCTTATTAAAAAAGTGTTAAATCAAGAAAATACTTATTTTTTTAAGCATATATATTTAACAGCAGTCAATAACAAATATAATGTATGTTAGAGAAATCCTACCTCTCCCATGAGTGTAATTATCAAGCACTGGTCAATAAGAATTTTGATAACAGAAATTGCATGTCAAATTAGAGAGAAATTAATGAGTTTAGTGTGAGGAGCTAACTGGTAGAGCATTGGTGTTAATTATCTATATCCCTTGAGTATTCAGGCAAATGGGAAAGCCTGTTGGATTAAAAATAGCTCTTGTTGGCTAGCCAAAGTTTTAAAATGAATTTGATGAAAAGTAATTAAAACTAATTTGATATTGCATAATAGACTAATCTTATGTTATATGATATTATTAATTTAAAAACTAATTTTATGGGGTGGGTGGAATCAGCATGTCCCTATGAATTACATATTAAAATCTGTCAGACATTAAATCTCAACCAAAAAAAAATCTTTAAGTATTTTATATGTTTTAAAAAATGTTTATGGTAGATAGTGCAGACCCATCCATCTCTTGGTAGTAATGAGTAGTCAAGCATCCAGTTAAAGATTAATTAATGAGTTCAATGTAGGAAGGCTATCTGATCAAGAAGTCTTATCTGTATCCTTTGGGGATTAGACAGAAGAACTGCTGGTCAGTTTATAGCATATGTCATTTGATGGCCAGCCTTTTCTTTTCAAAATTAATTTGGTGTAGATTAAGGTGTTAAGACTAATTTGATATTGTTTAATATGATGGGCATTTTGATATTGTTTAATATGATGGGCATTTGACAAGGTCTAACACAACCAGCATAGAAATCTATCAATGATGTAATATTTATTATAATTAATGCCTACATCACAGGATATGGATAAATCATGGAAATCTTAGAATTAAGCTTGATGTGATTTTCTTGCACGCTAAACTGTTCCAGAAAATTGTAATTTTTTGACGGGCGTATCATACTGTGGCGCGGCACTTTATTTCTAAACATTAAAACAGATGTATAGTTGATCTTCAGTATGTCAAACATCTACATGTACATGTACATGTACATGTGGAGTACCTTGGATATTTCAAAGTCATTTGGAAGTCCTAACCCATTTCTCTATAAGTATGTATGTAACCCCCAATACCTCAAACCGGTGGATATTTCAGAGTTTTTCCTGTGTCCAATAGAGTTAAAGATAATGAGGTTTATTAAACATATTTAATTGTTTTTACCAAAAATGGGACCTAGTAAAGCCCTAGTTTGAAACTGTATTGATTAAGATATATTGAAATTGTCTTAACCATCAAATATCTGCACGAGTTTTCATAAAAATGTTAATTTTGAATATTTGTATCCTCTAGGTAATCAATGCAGCTCGAATTCTTGCCAGTCGTCCGAGGTCAAAGGTCGCTCAAGAAAACATGGACGTGTTTAAGGATGCCTGGGAGAGAGAAGTGAGGATCCTGACAGATGCTGTAGATGATATTACCACCATTCATGATTTCTTGGCTGTATCTGGTAAGAGGAGTTAACATATTTTTTAACTTCTTTTCATACAACTGCAACCATTAGCATTCCAAAAAAAATGTGTAATGTATTAACAGATTAAACTTTGCTCAGAGCTAAGTGAATATATTGTTGACATTCTTAGACGGATATCTTACACATAGTAATGCTAATATGTGCACTTGTATATAATGCTGTAAGTTGTTTTGGATATTTATAAATTTTGCACATTGTACAGATTACTCCAATCTTTATTTCCAGAGAGTCACATCCTTGAGGATGTCAACAAATGTGTGGTGGCTCTTCAGGAGGGAGATGCAGACACGCTTGACCGAACTGCTGGGGCCATCAGAGGGAGGTCCTCTCGCGTGTGTAATGTGGTCACTGCAGAGATGGAGAATTACGAGGCAGGGGCATATGTTGATAGAGTCATGGAAACAGTACTGATGCTTAGGGACCAAGGTAACCACTGATTTGAAAGAAAAGAAACTTGTTATGTCTACTTTGGTGCGATTAATTCAAAATTGAAACCATTCAACTTTCCTGTATCTATATGATCTGTAGATTTGTGTTAAAAGGGTAATTTAGAAAATGTTAAAGCTTTTTTATTTTAAAATGCATGTACATGTATATTCAGTATAATTTTGTTGAATTTTTTTTTTAGTGAAAACTATACTAAATTATTGTCTTAGAATGACACAAATTGTTTTCTCTATAATATTTATACATCTCCTTCATTTCAGTGATGCCTAACTTTGCTGAGAAAGTGGAGATAGCCGTGGATGCCCTGAGTTACAATCCTCCACGAGAGGTGGACGAGAATGAGTTTATTGATGCCAGTAGACTTGTGTATGATGGGGTCAGAGATATCAGACAGGCCGTGCTGCTAGACAGGGTATGTTACATACTGTATATACATGTATATTAAATAATTATGTATTGCTTAATTTGGAGCATTTGTTACAAAAAGAGAAGAATGTATTTATGTCTCCCTTCAGAGGGGAAACAGAAGGTTTCTTTGTTGTTCGTTTTTATTTGATGTTGAAGTTTAAGCCAATGTTATGAAATTTAGCAGAAAGAATTTTACTGGTTTCTGTTTCTTTAATCAAAATAGTAGTAGAAAACTGTAATGGACATTTAAGTTTATGAGTCAAATAAGATAACATGGTTAATGAGGAGAGTATACATACATGTATGTAATTTTTTTTCATTTTAGACTGAAGTAGAAACAGATTCAGAAGTTGAAGAAGATCCATATGAAACAAGAAGCAAATGTAAGTTAAATAATTTTAATATTTTGATTCAGAATAATTGATTATGTGCATTGAAGATACAGTAGTATATTTGGCAAAATGAACAGTTTAATTTACTAAATATGTTTTATAATACAGCTTCAAGATCCAAAGGTGAATTTACCATATCAAGCATTTTTTGATCAAGCATTTTTTGATTGTTTATTTTTGTTTCTTTTTTACTGTAGAGTATAAGTTTGATGAGTTATTTGTTGTATTGAACCTCCTTAAGAATGTGTATGCAATGAATGGGTCTTCGAAATTGAATTCTTTTAAGTTTAATAAAAAGGTGAATGCCATGTTAAAATTATTTGTGACAAGTGCATGGTTTGACTTCACCAGTTTTGTTAAGAAAATTCAGTGTTCATTTAATATTGATGAACAAAGATGAATACCTTTTGTACTTACTCAGTATATAGTTAGCATGAGGCAGAAAATTATACGATGATTTTGTCTACTTTAACAAAATCACAAGAAATCATCAGAATGTCACTATTCACATGTTAGGCCTTAGTAGTTTTTTAGCAGTTCTGTAATGTGATATTGAAACTTGGTAAAATGTAAAATTGGAGTTCATTTTTGTGTTACTTTAATGGTGCATTTTTGATTTACTCTATCTATTTTGTGATTTTCTCAGTCTCATTATACATTTTGTGTTACTTTAATTACACATTTTGTGATCCTCTAACTATACATTTTGTGTTACACGTATTATACACTTTGTGTTACCCTAATTACACATTATATTTTACACAAATTACGTATTATAGCTAGCTACATGACTGGGATGGATGACGACCATGGTAAGAGTGACAGAGCCATGATGAGACAACTCCCTGCGGAGGAACGAGAGAAGATCCAGGAGCATGTGCAGGAATTCCTGGCGGACAAAATGAAGCTCGACCGTGAAGTGGCCAAGTGGGATGACAGTGGGAATGACATTATTGTCATGGCTAAACAGATGTGTATGATCATGATGGAGATGACAGATTTTACAAGGTAGGAATCGGTTTTTGATGGGATTTTACGAGGTAGGAATCGGTTTTTTTTTGATGGGATTTTACAAGGTAGGAATCTGTTTTTGATGGGATTTTACAAGGTAGGAATCTGTTTTTGATGGGATTTTACAAGGTAGGAATCTGTTTTTGATGGGATTTTACAAGAGGTAGGAATCTGTTTTTGATGGGATTTTACAAGGTAGGAATCTGTTTTTGATGGGATTTTACAAGGTAGGAATCTGTTTTTGATGGGATTTTACAAGGTAGGAATCTGTTTTTGATGGGATTTTACAAGGTAGGAATCTGTTTTTTTTTTTATGGGATTTTACAAGGTAGGAATCTGTTTTTGATGGGATTTTACAAGGTAGGACTCTTGTTTTGAATGAGATGTATATTTGGTGAATAAACTGCAAGATTTGTGAAACAGTATTTGCATGGAATGGATTTTATGGTGTATTCATTCAGAAAATAAGCTCTCCATCATGGAGTGTAATATGTGTATATTTTGCAAACACTGTTTCAGTTTACAGTGTTGTTTAACTATATATTTCTAATTTTTTTGTTGGTGCATAGAGAGGTTGACCAAAAGTTTCATGAATTTTCCTTTATACATGTTAAGTTGTTTAGCACATTTTTACAAATTACATTTTGTTAAAAGTAGGTTTTAATCTATTTTGGTAAATTTAACAGAGGACGAGGTCCACTGAAGAGTACAATGGACGTTATCAATGCTGCTAAGAAAATCTCAGAGGCTGGTATTGGATTGGACAAACTGGCTAAACAAATTGCTGATCAGGTAGGGTGATGTTTCTTAAATTTTTCTGCACATAGAGTGAACAAGCTATAAAAGACTGCAGTTTACATAAGGATTTTTTTGACAATGCTTTCAGTTTTTAAGTTTATTGATACTGATGTTTTGATATTGGTTACCTTTTCTGGATCATCTAAAATACTGTATGAAGTCCTATTTTAAAAATCATTAAAGAATTTCAAATAGAATTAACATTATTTCTTCAGTGCAAAAAAAGTGTATGCATGAAATTTCCATGTTTCTTTGAATGAATAATTTAAATGATTAGAGTTCACAGAATGCCAGAAGAGTACATGAGGAATATAAGGTGGACTGGAATAATATTTCTATTTTCCAAGAGTCAGTCTTTGTGATTGATGCAATGTTCTTGCTAACCCAGTTTATTTTTTCAGTGCCCCGACTCTGCATCAAAGAAAGATTTGTTAGCTTACCTCCAGCGAATTGCTCTATATTGCCAACAGTTAAATATCACCAGTAAGGTCAAGGCCGATGTTCAGAACGTCAGCGGGGAATTGATTGTGTCAGGGGTAAGGCTAATTACTGGATAGTTTTATCAGATTCATTCATATGTGACCGTTTTCACTTTCTAGTGCCCAGACTCTGCCTCAAAGAAAGATCTGGTTGCATACCTGCAGAGAATCACCTTGTATTGTCAGCAATTAAACATTACAAGTAAAGTCAAGAATGACATTACTAGCATCAGTGGACAGGCTATTGTGGTCACAGGGGTAAGACTAATTACTCCATAGGAGTCTCCTGGGACTGAGGCTTTCCAGCTCATAGCCAAAAAACAGCCAATGTACTGCACTGCGCTTTAAGTCATGACCTTTCCTATCCAGTCTCTGAACCTGCTGGCTGCTAATCACTATACATAAATTGAAATCTATGTAAAAGATATATAGGCCTAAATCCAAATATAAAATGATTTGTTAAATATATATTTACTGTAAAGGTTACTGCAAATGAAGATGTATAAATATACCTGCCTAAAATGACCCTTACTTACATTTAAAATACTTTAATTTTATGCTATTAATCTATTAAAATTTTTAATATTTTTTTTTTTTAATAAAGTCATATCTGATTAAGAAAAATCTTAACATACATGTACTAATATTTCCTTGCAGAATGTTAACAAGCTTTATAATACATAACTGTATAAACAAGAAAGAGAGATCAGATGAAGCTTTTCGTACTTCTCCATATGTTTGTTTTTGGTGCATAATAATAGTTAATAAGTATGTTAAGATCTTAATTCTCACAAATAATGCATCTTCCCAGTTCCTAAACACTGTAAATTATTTATTTGCATGGCATGTAATCTGTAACTATCAGACAGATTCATGTAAATTGCCATTTTATTAAGCTCATTGTAAAAATCAACAGAATCAATCTAAAGATTTTTTTCTTCTCCTTATTGAAATTTGAAAATTAAAGCTGGCAAAATATGGTACAGATCATGGCTATCACATTTGTATTGAGCACAAACATGTAAACTACAATATAAAAGTGTTCTGGCAGATTTGGTTCAGTTTGATTTGTATATTTGTGATGTGTTCTTGGTGAAATCACTTTTCTGGGCATGTCACAGTCACCAGCTCCAATTTATTGAATACACTATGTACATTGTATATAAGAAGTATGGTATATTTTAATATAATGAGAATTAGGCCACACCAATTTAATTTCTTGTTTGTCGGATATTTGATGGAAAAAAACTACGAGCGGGCAAGCGGTTAAAAAATAATATTATTTCTTTTTTGAAGATAAAATTTTAAGGCAGAGCGTGAAAAAATTTGAGCGGACAATTATATTTTATCTGATTTGCAGAGTTAGCAGATTAAACAAATGAATAATAGAGCGGAAATGGAACAGAAAATAGCCCATAATTTTTATGGTGCGGGAAATTTAAATTAATATTATTTGTATAGTTCTGTTTGAATACGAGCGGGCGGGTCCGACGAACAAGAAAACTTATTGGTGTGGCCTTATGAACAGGTTTCATTGCTGAAAAACATTTGATTGATTTTATACATGTATAAAGCATAAACAGGCATAAACAGTAAAACATTTTGAACCAGGAACAAACAATATTTTGATTTGTTATGAATGTAATTCAGTAACTTAAGAAATGAAAATCACTTTATTGTAAGCATCAATTCATGATAAGATTGCTTGTTATAACTGTGTTTCATTGTACTGTCAAATGTTTATCAATACTTACCATATGTAACATATTATTTGAGGGTTTAATCTCTTTATAGCTGGACAGTGCTACTTCACTTATTATGGCCGCAAAGAATCTCATGAACGCTGTGGTCCTGACAGTAAAAGCCTGTTATGTCGCATCCACTAAGGTTTGTCTATGTCGCCCATTTCAATAGATATGTGTAACTATACAATGTACATGTAGATGTACAGAATCATCAAAATATATTTGTGGGAAATATATTATTACCCCTATATTTTAAATGATATTCACTTCTGTATATTGCCACTATTGAAAATATATGTGTATGCACAAAATATATACATTTCCTATCAATTTCCACTTCTTCTTTCCAAGAGTAATAGCTTCACAAAATTATATCATTCAAAGAAATAGTAGTATTTACATGTTCTATATATCGATATTTTTCTTTCTTTCACAGTATAAGCAAGCAGGTCACACAGTAAGTTTTCCTTTTTGTCACTGTATCAGCAATCCTTGTTTTTTAAGCATGAAAATATAAACTCAATATTTTTTCTCTTGTAAACATGTACTTCATTTACAGTGAATAAATTTTACGTCTGCTCACTTGTTAAAATTAATATTTCAGTCCACAGTGGTCATGTGGAAGATGAAGCCTCCAGAGAAGAAGGCTCTGGTCAAGCGGGAGGATCCGAATGAACTCCGGTCCAAAGTCCGCAAGGGGGCCAGGAAGAAGAACATGGAGCCCGTCAAGGCACTGAGTGAATTCCAGGAAATTGACAGCTTCTGTTAGAACCCAATCATTCCAACTAATACGCAATTCATTTAATGACAAGTGAGGGAAAATTGGGTGTTTTGTTTACTGACATATACATATTTAAAAAGGAAAGGAAATTTAAAACAGAAGCTACCAGTATATTTTGAAAAAGACCTCATTTGAGCATATTGATAACTTCTTGTTGATATTTTAAGGAAGCTTGTAAAATGGACTTAAATTAATTTTTTTTTGCAATTTCTAATATTTCATATCTTACTACATCCATTGATACATATTCTCCACAAATTACTATTTGTTATGAAGCACATATACCATCTCAAAGACTTTTTTTCTTATTTCTAGAGATAAAATACAACTGTTATTCAGATACATGTATTGTTCATCGTTTAATAGTGTATCATTTTTAAAATCATCCTAGATCGTTTTCATGTATTTAATTGGAAAAGTCCAACAGCTGTCACTTATTTCACATTAGTTGTTATCCATTACAATTACCACACCATTTCTTTTCTTTTTTTTTTTTTTTTTGCATTTTAATTTTTTTTTAAAAATCTTTTTTTAATACCAATGATTTCGCATAAAATGTGATATTATGTCATGGTTGTTTTTGTCATTTATATGTGTAGCATTTTATAGTGTTTATACACACATGTATAATTTAGAATTACGAAGGGTTGTGAAATATGACTGCTGTGTTAGTTGTTATTGTAGAAATATAGATATTAGAAAATCTGCAGGTTTTTTATTTGTTTGAACATATTTTATTGTAATATACAACTTTATCATGTTGTGTCTATCCATAGGCTAGGATTAAATAGTCTTATCATAAAACCATTTAAAATTAAAGGAAAAAAAACATCTGCTGTGTTAGTTGTTATTGTAGAAATATAGATATTAGAAAATCTTACATTAATGTCATCAGGCAGTAGAAAAGAATATGTGCAGAAGTTTGTAAAATAATGCCTTTTTTATTTTTCTATATCCCAATAGATACTACTTACAAGTTGATCTGAATTTTAGTTTCTACCTGAATTATATCATTCTCAACACAGTGCAAGTGACTGATATGAAACTTGTTCATGGTCCTAACAACTTGAATTGTAATACTGTAGATTCCTTATTTTTGGCGAGTAATTATTATCGCGGATGACCTTTTCAACGTCAAATCCGAGAATAATAATTCACGAATGGACGGTTGGTCAAGAGATTTTAGATTGATTTTACTACCAAAAAAAATAAAGACGAGCTATTTCATTTGGCGTGTGGCGCTTCTCGCGAAATTACGCAATAATTAATTCCACGTGTATATTTAGGAATCTACAGTAAGTAAAAACAGAAAATAAAAGCAAAGCAGATGAGACCAAGCCATATAACTTCAGAATAGATTTCTTATTTTAGTTTGTACTGTGCTATTGCAAGCATCAAACCATCCCCTTTTATTTTTACAAGGAATGCAGGTTGTAGTCTTTCAAGAAAATGTACTACACTTTATTTAAGGAATCCTGTCTAGTTAGTATAGTATGCCAGGGCATCAACGATAGTGGGAAACATGGGATAATTTGCATAACGGGCGAAGCCCGTTTTGCACTAATTATCCCATGTTTCCCACTATCGTTGAAGTCCCTGGCATACTATACTAACTAGACAGTGATTCCTTATATTTCCATTTCATTGTGAGATAAAATTGTACATTCAGACTTTTAAAATTTAGACATAGACTTAAATTACACGAGGACTCCCATGCCAAATTCAATAGGCCTCGCCTTCTGACGTCAAAGACAAAGGCCGCGGCACGAGATTTACATGCATATTTGGCCTCCTTAGTGTCTGACACAGAGACAGATGCGCACGAGATTTGCATGCATATAAGGCCTCCTTAGTTCCTGACCTATCGACCTGCCTAATTTACATTCCGGTAGAATTATCAATAAATCAACTCCGCTAACTTTCAAAGAGTTATCACAGAGAAAAAAAAATAGAAATGGAAATATTAAAACATAGTCAAACTATTATAAAGGGACCCATAAGTAACATGATAGACTGCAAATAGAATATATTACAAATTCAAATACTTGTGTTGGTAAACATAATGTGGAACTATGGCAAAAATATTCTAAAAACATTCCTGACATATGAAGATGACTGTCCAAAAGTCCAGTGAAACATTTAATATTGGGAGCAGAGCAAACACAGACCTCTAGAAATATCAGAGATGAGATCAGATGCCATGGAAGAGTAAGAATTTCCCTGTCGACCCATGTAACGTTGAATTTTGACCCGGGTTGAAAATTGACCCGGGTCAAAATTCAACGTTGAAAAGTGAGACCAAAGGTGTTGAATTTAGACCCTAGTCCGTTGAAAACTTAGCCGAGTCGTTGAATTTTGATCATGAAACCGGTTCAAAATTCAACAGCATAAAAACTAATTTTTATGACTTGGTTTTCACAACTGTGAATGAATCCATAGGCGTCGGGAATGGGGGGTGGGGTAGGGGGCTAGGGATGCTTATCCTTTTTATATAGACATACATGTAATATAGGCATTGAACAATGTTAAGTTGGTTTAGTCCCCCCTGCTTTTAACAGGCACGTTACAGTCTAGTCAAAGGAAGAAAAGTAAGTGGTAGTGCTTTAAAAAAAAAAGAAATTGGATCCTAACCCCTCCCCCCCAATAGGATTTTCGGGTTTGGACTACTACTTTGGACAATGGACAATTTTTTTTTCTTGTCAATTTTTTTTCAGATTTGATTTTTTCTCTCTTTTTCAATTACCCCCCCCCACACACACACACACTTTCAATTTGCTTCCGACACCAATGTAATCAATGCACACTTAATTCAGCATTAATTCAGTTATATTCTTAGAATGAAATATTTTTAAAAATATCTTAGATTTCAAAGTTACATGTAGCTTTAAATCGCAATATTTCGTGTAATATTTATTTAAACAGAAGTACATTTGTATATGTAAATCCTGAATATTAGTAAACATAGTAACACAATATACAATTTAGTACATAAATTTGTTTAATTAGATTTTTTTTTTGCTGACAAAATTTCATGTATTTTGATTTTAAAAATCCAAATATTTGTATTTGGATAATGGTGAGAGTTAAACGCATGATGCACGTATGTTGTAATGCTTATTTAGTTATGCACAACATTAAGAACTTAAAATGTCCAACTTGAAAACCGGATTTTTTCAAAATAAAAGGTTTAGTGATCTTTTTCGCATAGTTAATCAAACAGTTTAACGAGGCCCGATCTACTTGATCTGCGCATACGTTTTAACGCAGCGTCGACTCAGGCACGTCACAATACCCTTGACTGCCGTCACAATTGAACACAATAACGTCACAATTAAAATGACGTCAAATTGCGCTAAAATGTTTCGCTGATCTTGTTTACCTGATAGCGCTATAGACTATGCATTGAAAGCTGGCATTTCTTTTCTTTTTTATTTTAAATATTTAATTAATTATTAAACAATTTGGAACCTCATTAATTTGAGGGATCAATTTTTTGGTACAGATTCATTAATTTTATCCTGTTTTATTTCAATTTGTGAGTTAAAAAAAACAAACACTGCAACTTAAAGTAAACGATTTTAGTCTTCCTCTTCGAACATGTTGAAGTGTTTATACACACTCTTTTTATTGCGGACTTAAATATGCATGGATTATCTTCAGTTTTAAAGAATAAAATAATCTATAAATCATTTAAATTGAACCCCCGAAATATTTATTTTTCTATATATTACATGATATTAGTAAAAATCGCAATTTTTTCGGCTTTACCCCCCCCCCCCACCCCTTTTTTCCACGCAAAACAACGTCGCTTGTTAAGAGGAAAAATAAAGCATGGAGAGAATATTTTTTCATAATGTAAGAATTAATTATTTTTTTTAGAAACTAATACTGTATTGCAATCGTTTGTTGGTGTTATGTAAACCCATTGCGACCAATAAACTACGTAGTTAGATAGAATAAATCCAAATTTTGTGTTTTGACATGCCCCCTTTTCACTGCAATAAAGGCTATCTCCAATTTTCTTTTCATTTTTGATAAGAAGAAAGAAAATTACATGATATATGTGAAAAACAAAGAATTTCATCATGTATTTTTTTTTAAATTGTAAATTTCTTTGTTTTCTGAAGAGTTTTCGTATGTAATTGTGAATAAAAACACAAAAAATGGTCCATATCTTGACAGTGTCCCCATTTCACTACAATAAAGGCAAGGTAACAAAGTTTCACTCTAATTTTTCTAAGCATAAAACATACAAGTATATTTCCAAGAATTGAAATTTTTCATCATTCCGTTTTTGTAATTTTCAACTAGATCGGGCCTCGTTAAGTAGAGGATGTAAAAGGGGGGGGGGGTGATCTCCCCTTTTTGGGATTAGTAAAATATATTTATTTGAAGAATGTATGATTTTAGGGTTTTGGCTTTTCTTTTATTTTGTATTTGTGACTGGGCTGTTTTCATCATTTTTGTAGTTTTTTTAATCAAAAAATGTTTGCCTTAGAATGCGCTTTTTAGTTGTTTAGATCAAAAGAAGTAGCTGGGACGGTGTTTTTATTTTTAATTGCTGACTCTAGTTCTCATTCTCAAGGTTATGATTGATTTTTAGGCCGAGGCAGGCTACTGACAGTTTGTTACAGGGATTTCAACAACCTTGCTTAAAGTCAGCATTACTTACATGCTACGGTCGCTATGTTGATCTTTTCACAAATATAACCTATCATTGGATTCATTTTGACCGATGTGTTTCATTTTAATTTCTAGGCTTTTAATTCTGTGAATTTTTATACTGAATATGACTAGATGGGATGTTTTGCCCACCTGATCAATATAATATTATATAGGGCTCTTTGAATTTGTTATAACGATTTCAATCCATTAGAACAAATTTGTTGAATTCATTATAACGAATTCTTTAATTTGTTATAATGAATTAAATTCGTTAAAACGAATTCAAGAAATTGTTATAACAAATTAAATTCGTTTAAACAAATTCCAAGGTTTGTTATAACGAATTAAATTCGTTTAATCAAATTCAATAATCAGGACCTATAGAAAAATATATATGAATTCGATATAACGATTTGTCGATCGAATTCGTTTTACCGAATTTTATTCGTTATAACAAATTATGGAATTTGTTTAAACGAATTCAATTCGTTACAAGTTTTCAAATCTGTTTAAACGAATTTAATTCGTGTTAACAAATTTTTGAATTCGTCATCATGAAATCAACAAATTTGTTATAACAGATTAAATTCATTATAACGAATCCTAAGAAATTGTTATAGCGAATTAAATTCGTTATATGGGATTTCGACAATTCGTTATATGGGATTCAAAAATATTTTTCGATAGGTCCTAAATAGGCTTCCGTCTTTGTAGACACCATATTTCCAGTATTTTTGTTTTATCCCGTATTAAAAGTTTTGTAGTTATTTATGGATGTGGATTTTAGAGAGTATTGTCAAAAATAAAGTTGTCATGCTTGAAGATCTTGATTGTGAAATCTTGTACTGATCAAAATGTACATATGTAAACGGGATGATAGGTTTATTTCTATTATTCTTGAAAAGGGGAAAAAATTGAAACCGAAATATAAATTATATAGAGATACTGATAAATCCTGTAAAACAACTCCCCAGTTCAAAAGATGTTAAAACT